TGCTAGTGATACGGAGCCGCCGGTGCCAGGCGCTGAGCAGTTTGAAGATTCAGCTGAGCAGGAGGACGAGGACGCTAGCGCTGGCTTTGACAATCGTGAAGACGTGGGGGGACTGGATGATGTGGATGTATTGACGGTGGAAAACGATGGTGAGGAGGCGTCTAATGAGGAGAATCGTAACGATGGCAATGTGTCTGTGACTGTGGAGGCGCCAACTACGTGGCATGCGGATTGGGACGCCTGGCATGCGTATTTGTTGCTGTATTGTAAGCGTACCATGTAGGTCCTTCCCGTAAAGGAGACGATGTCCCGTGCTGTGAGAAACAAAAGGTTGCTGAAGACTAAGAAAGGGGAAACCTCGTCACAGCTGGCTCCTGAGGGTTTCGATCCATACCATCGTACGTACATCTGTACGCATGGGTGGAAGAAATGTAAGTCTCGCAGTGAAGGAAGTCGGCCGCACCAGCACATCCGGCTGACGGATTGCCCCTTTCGCTCTGTCGTCCAATGGAACATGGCCAAGGCTGAGCTGCAGGTGAAACACGGATGTTTTGCTCATAACCATCCAGTTTCAGTGGCTGCATTTGCAACATACCCTACGTCACGTGGTGTAGATGATGCGATTGTTACTGCCCGTGTCGATGGAATGCTGGCTGTTGGAGCCAAGCGCTCTCGTATCTACGATTATCTTTGGAGCATGGCCAGAACGTAATTCAGATTGACGTGGATAACCTGGTGCGAAACTACACGTCCGCGAGCAGTAACGTGAACGACAATGAGGCTACTGCTCAAGAAATCGCACGGTTTGCCGCCGCCGATCCTGAAAACGTGTCTACTATTGCGGAGACGGAAGCTGGTGAAAGTGGGGTGATTTCGCTTGCTACGGCTCATATGCGTCGCATTTACGGCAGGTTTAGCGATGTTCTTTTGGTTGACTGCAGTCATAAGACCAACAGGTAGCTCATATTATATGTTACAGGATTAGTCCTGTATTTTACATGATTTTTCCATGATTAATTTGTAGGTACAATTATCAACTGCTTACCTTCATGGGGATGAATGAATTTGGGGAGGGTGCTGTGGTGCAACTGTCTCTTATTGAAGCGAACGGAGATTTGCACATGGAGAGAGCAATTGCTCATTTTAAGCGGTCGCACCCGACTCGGATTAAGTTGTTGAGAGTTATTGTGGTTGACAAAGAGCTCAATGAGATTCGGGCACTGGAGGAGCACTTCCCAGAGGCTAGAGTGATTATCTGTCACTTTCACGTTATCAAATACTTGAAAGAGAAGCGTTCCAAGCCAGAATTTGGAAAGATTTCGTCGGAGGACGCATCGCAGATCGATGCGGCTTTTCACAAGATGGTTTACGCGCAGTCGGAAGACCAATACACTGAGGCGCACAATGCATTGTGTGGTATTTGCGATCGCACAGGGATGAGTGGTTTATTTAGTACTTTCAGAAGAATTGGGACTCATGTCAAGATCGTTGGGTTTCTTACTTACGGTCAAAGCTTCCTCGCTTCAAGAATCACACGAACAACCGTCTGGAGAGTTTTTTCGGGAAGTTGAAGGACGCGGTGGATTGCTCTATGAGTATGGCCATGTGTGTGGAGGCCATTGTTGCTTACGATTGGCGGGTGCAGAACGAGTATGAGTACCGCTTGTCTCGGATCGGACGATTTGTGAACAGCAATCACGACGAGGAGATGACCAACGTTCTCCGCTTCACTACACACTACGTTGCGCGACAGATTGAAGGACAGTATGCTGCAGCTCTGGCTAAATGTGCGTCGTACAAATTCAGTGAAGATCCGGACGTTGATGGAGATGTTTTGGTATCTGGAAAGTTTTCGGAGCATCGTTTGTGGACGTCCGATTGGAAATGCGACTGTGAGTTTTCCATTTTGATGTGTTTACCCTGTCGTCATGCAATAGCTTATCGTAAACACGTTGGTGTGTCTAGGCCGTTCATTCCATGGTGTTGCATTGACGAAAGGTAAATGCAAAGTACTTTCCAGTTTTATGATCATGTTAATGACCCAATTCTAATCATGTCTAATCCATTATTATGATCCTGTATTTTTCCATAATTGCGCAGATGGACAACGCCGAATAGACCACTGAAGCAAGTGAAGCAGTTTGCGTACGAGAAATTCACCATCACTGGTCCAGGATCTGTCCGAAAGAAGATGCGTACTCAGTCTAAGCGGTACCGTGAAGCTGTCCGAGCTACGCATCTTATTGCAAGTGAAATGGATGATATTCAGGATGAAGATGAATTCGATGACATGTTGAAGTTTGTGTTGACTCAGTGGAGAAACGTTTGTCAGCGTAAGATGGGCGAAAGTGAAGACATGGATCCAAGTGGAAGTTCATCAAAGGAGAGTATTAGCAACCTGAAGGCAAAGGCAACTAGACGCGAATTCGACATCAGCTCTAGTGACCTCGAAGAAGAGTCCCAGGAGTCTAGCAGCGAAGGTCGGCGTCTATCCCCGGCGCAAGGTGCTGCGCCGGTTGCGATCCGCTTGAACCCCAAGGCAAAGAAAGTTGGAGCTCCAAAAAAACCTAAGAAGAACACGGTCGCCGGCGAGAAAGAAGGTCGTCAATGGTTTGAAGCTGCAGAATCTGGACGTAAATTGGCAGGCGCGAAAGCTCTGAAGGAGCTGTTGAATGATTTGTTTGGATCGGGACATGCCAGGCTTAGCGGAGACAGAGAAACGCCTCTCAGGAATAATTGTCCGGCACACGGACTCGGCCAACATGAAGCCCAAGCTGAAGATGTCGAAGAATCCTGTACTGATACAGGATCCCTTCTATATTCTCCTATCCAAGCTTCTAGACGCGTGCATGAAGGTTTTGCCGGTATCCAACACGAATACGGCAGCTGTATCTGTCGATGTATCGCAACCAAGTCAGTCTCACGACGCAGAAGATGACTTGGCTCCACAGACTCACGAAACAGTGCTCATTAAAGACGTCGGCCAGTTCTCCAGAATGCAAATAGAGATATTCAAGCGAGTCAGGAATCTCAAGGGCATCGTAGAAATGGGTCTGAACACGTACAGGTGGATGACAGAAATCGGCATCCCAGCGTTACCAGCAGAAAATCATGCCTTCGCCAAGAAGATAGCCGCAGAGGTTAAGGCTACTTACCCCTACAAGCAAATCCAGGGACTTCCGGCTGTCGCTGATTTCCAGTACGCAATGCTCTATCGTGCTACACACCAGCATGGCTTTCAGATGCCTCCATACGTGCGCTGTGTCTGCGTCTATGCCAAGATTACCGAGAGTGTCGCTTCGCCGGCTTTCAAGACGCAGCAGTCAAAACGAAATGTACGAGAGCTACAGAGAGGACTGTTTTGAGCGACGCAGTCCGCAAGTGTGCTGAATCAAGTCAAGGAAGAAGGCGTGGAGTCGGTATTTGTTCCCGTGAACTATGGCAACTTGCATTGGTGCTGTGTGGTAGTCAAAGTGAGCGCGAAGAGGATCTTCTACTACGAATCGATGAAACAAGCGGCGTATATGAGCGCGACAAGGGATGTTGCCGCTGGACTGAAGATCGCAGGCCTGAATGACTTTGGTGTAATTCCACAGAACATCCCGATCCAATTTGACGGCTTCAGCTGCGGCGTTTTCGTGTGTTGGATGTTTATCTGGCACATTGCCGCCTTACCGCCTCAAGATATGAGCGACGCTTCGCTTCCAAGGCGTCCTTTGGAATTGTTTTGCTACCTGCTTACTGGTCGACTACTTCCAGCGGAGACTACACCGAGTACTTTGACGGAGGAAAACGCTCCTGCGCCGCAGACAGAGGACACAAATTTGGACAACGACGAGGTGCCTCCAACCCAAGTTGCAGACAATTAAGTGCTTGGAGGTAGCTTGCATCTTGACGTCGAATACATGTAATTCTGCATTAAGATTCGTGCAGACACAGATCAAGTCTTTGATCCGAGATTTTTTTCATGGGATAAAACAAGACTAATCCTGTACAATGAGGAAATTATTGAAGTACAAAACTTCGATCCCTGATTAAATAATGGTAGAGACAGGATTAATCCTGCAAAGCGGATAGCCACACGTTTCTTTCTTCCAATCTTTCGAAGAAATTCTTCTCCAAAAATTTATCCACAGTGCTTTTATTCCCTTTAAAAGAGGTTTTTTCACCAGCTAGGAATTAATTTCGTTCCCCCATTAGTCGTTTCCGATATATAATCCTGGCCTCCAACAGCCGCCAAAGAATTTTACCCCAATGCATGTTGTGGCGCGGATTCAATTTCGCGATCTCACTTTCAAGCCCAATCACTCTAGTAAAGAATTACTGCAAAGGAGGTCTGGTTGAAAAAAAATAAACCTCCATTTTACAAATTCTCAGATAAAGCATTGGAATACATGTACCGTATAAACATATTATTCTCCCTCCTAGAATTGATATTTATCAGAAGTCAGTAAAGTTTCCTCAAAAGCTGAAGGCGGCTTGCTAATAAACAGATAAGCTTCAACTGAACTGATCGATCAAGCACCTCGACGATGCCGTATTTCATCCTCGATGTAAAAAAGAAAGCGAAACGCTACCCAATCAAAATCGGCGACGAACAAGCAGTTCCTATCTACCAACTGCCATCTTAGCTGATTAAGTAGAAGTTTCAAGCCCGCAGCTTAAACGCTAGACCGCAATTCCCAGTGTAGTGGCCTCCTTCTTTAGTTTGTGTTTTTGAAACGCAACATTCACATACTCCCCTCGAATCCTCTTGTCGACCGCGGTTGCCTGAGAGCGTTGTATGTTGAAAGCCCCCGAAAAGAAGTTACGTTCGCTGATACGCCTCTCAAACCACTCTGCATACAGCTCGGATTTTAAAGTCTCCGCGGTCTTTTTCGGATCTAGCTTTCCTTTAGCCTCATACAGCAGTGATGCCAGCGCTCGCTCTCCATCGACTGTCTTGAAGGCCTGAAGCATACTAATAGTTGACCCCTCACTCTTATCGACGTTAAACTTGTTTAAATAGCCAATCCAAACCTCCAAAACTGGTGCGAAATTGTCGGGTCATCGAGCTGTAAGTTTTTGTAAACTTGAGCGGGAGGTAATTTCTGGTGTAGCCAAACGGTGAGCTGCTCCAGCTGCAGCTCCGTCGCCAGTGTTTTCGTTCTCTCCGACGACGTTGAAGATGTCTTTGCCAGCTCGAGCATTTTTGTCACCTGAACTTCTCCGTATTTGCTTGCGAGCGTCTCGGCCATCGTCACTGATTTTTTCGGGTTTTTCTGGTTGAACATGGAGATGTAGTGCTGCAAGATACTCAGCTTGGGGTTGGTCAGGAGATCGTCCACACTATCACCGAGGTTAAGCTTCTTGAGAACCTTGACTGAGCGTTTGTTTTGCATCAACCACCACTGAAGCTGAAGTTTATTTGCAGTTGTCAGCTTCGGTGCTGCAGCCTTGATCACTACTTCAACAGCAGGAAGCCTATTAGCTACTCTGCTTTCACCATCGGTATTGCCTGGCCTGAGGAGTCTATTAGCTGTTTTGTAGCTCTCGGTAGCCCGACGAGCCAGCTTTGAGTTGATGGCTGCGCTGGAACTGCCCAAGACAAGGAGGAGGGGGATGACAACAGCCAGCAGAACGGCTGACTGAAAGCGCATGGTAGATGAGCGTCAACTTTCTCGCTTTGAAGAAAGTGACTGCCAGAGTTTACGTGGCGTTCAATGTCCGTAATCCGTGCCAGCTGGGCTTTCTTCAGATTGTCGGTCCATTCTTTGTTGACGCCCGATCGCTTTATCAGTACATGTACTGTAGGAAAAATTATCCCGTACAAATATCATTTACTATTTTTAAAATATTAATAGTACTATATTCGATATTAAATATAAATAGTAGCTTAGTTTTTCAAAAGCTAATGAAGTATGATTTTTAACTCAGAGATTTGAAAAATACTAGATACTAAATGATATTGTTTCATGATATTTCCAGCTCCTCTGTGAGTTGACATGTTTCTATAGGAAGCTTGTATTTAAAAAATCAAAAACAGACAGAGCAGCTCCAGGGGTACACTGTGAACCCTTTTCATAAACGTAAAAAGCTACAGTCTAGCTAGACGACGCTTTCCTCTCCTGCTGCACTGCTGCCTTTACTAGAGCTCCCCATGCCTGACTGAAAGCAGTCTGGTGACTGTCCTTGATCCAACTCTGCAATTCCGCCTTTAGAAACAGCTTCCCGTCCTCTTTACTCCACTTAGCAACAAGAGCACGACGTGACGCCACGCGGTTCTGCTGCAACTTCGCAACCAACAATTGAATCTTCTTGTCAAACTTCTTGCGGATCAGCGTGTGACTAGGCTCCTTCAGTGCGCTTGAGAACGGCAGCAAACTCGTGATAACTTGACCATCCAGTAGGAACTTAGCGAACCACCGATACTTGCCGCCCAATCCGTCCTTCGAGTCCGACGTAACTTGGTCCGGATACGGGATACGCATCGCCGGTAGAGCCCACTGATGGATGCCATACTGCGCCTTAGCATAGCACTGCACCTCGTCCAGTTCGCGATGGTAGAACGGCGCGGGCTCAGCTAGTGGCGGCGCATACTTACATAGCGGTGTGTTCTTGCCGATCCCCGCCAGCCATTCCGGTTCAATAGCGGTCACCATTTTCATGTACGCACGGGTAGTCCGCATGATGTGTTGGTATACTACAAACTGCGGTAGTTTGCTCGGGTTGGGCGTGAACACAGACGAGTGGGGGTGGATGTATACAGGCTCCTTCACTTGCCCCGTAGCGGCAATGTACGCACAGTTACGCTCAATCTTTGTGCCTTCCGTGATGGTTCCAGCCGGTACCCGCTTGGCCACTTGATCCAAGAAACCAGCAGCCACGATCTGACGCAACACAGCTTGAGTGTCAAGGTCTGGAGGCGGCATCTTTGGCTTGAGTTCTACAGTGTCTTCTGCGTACAATTTGTTGACAATTCGAGTCAATTGTTGTCGTAGCTTGAGCATATTCTGCATCGTCTTCTCGTGTAGATGATTGTCCTTACAGAACTGACTACTGCCTCCAGTATACGCATAAGCGCCGGCAGCACGCAGCAGACTCAAGACGTCGCTCTCCTGGTCGATCCATTGTGCGTGTTTGCGCATCTCTTCGGCCTCGCGCCATTCCTTCTCCATGTCCTCCAGCTCGCTCTTGTTTTCTTCCTCATTCTCTTCTTCATTCTTCTCTTTTTCACGACGATCCAAAGCGTGGATGAACGGAGAGTGACCTGACAGACCAGCGACGATAGCAATCGTGTACTCCACAACTTCCAGCTTCTGTGCAAGCAGCAACATCTTCGCGAACCGAGCAGCTACGGGGAACTTGACGAGAGCGCGTCCTAGACCCGTGATGGCCTCGTCGTCACCTGGAGACACCGCACCGAGGTTTACCAGTGTCGCAAGTGCATTCTTGACTGCTAGACGGTCCGGAGGTGTCGGGAACGGGAACTGCGACACGTTATGGATCCCCATGGCTTTCATTTGAAGCACCAGGTCGTCTATTGGTTGGCACAGGATCTCAGGAGACGAGAACTTCTGAAACTCCGTGTCGTACACTGCAGACGAGTACAAACGGTAGCAATGACCGGGACCTGTACGGCCGGCACGACCGGCACGTTGATCTGCGCTGGCCTTGGAGATCCACTGCACTTTAAACGACGAAATGCCGTTCGCCAGATCAAACACACGCTCCTTGGTACGTCCAGCGTCTACCACGTATTTGACACCCGGGATCGTCAACGACGTCTCGGCCACATTGGTAGCTACAACGACCAGTCGATGGTTCTCTGGAGGCGTATCAAAGACCTTCATCTGCTCGTCATTAGGCAGCAAAGAGTACAGCGGCAGTACGTGCAAGTAAGGCACAGCCAGCTCTTCCACGTCTTCGTCTTCATCGTCGGAATTGCGCTCTTGTTCCTCCAAATTATACGCGATATCCTCGTCATCCACGTCGTTACCGTACACTTGATCGTCCTCCAAGTCCGCTTCTTCTTCGATGTCGTCGTGTTCCCTTAAGAAGTCGTCTTTACTCTTGTCGGTAGGTCTGCGTTGTGCACGGAATGCTCGACTGCATTTAAGCGCAGCAGCCTTCTTGTGTCTCGCAGCGACAGAGTACGCTCGACTGAGCTTACGACATAGCTGCAGGATCTCGCGTTGGCCTGTCAGGAACACCAACACGCCTCCTTCGGGTAATTTCTTGTGGATTTTAATCACCTTCTTGTATGCTTCGTCCACGTAGTTGTCCAGTTCTGTGCGCTTGTTAAAGTGTATAGTCACAGGATACTGACGAGCATCCACACGCAGCACAGGCGGCGGAGAGGGGAACAACCGCTGGTTCTGCGTAAAGTCCTCTACACGCAGAGTAGCCGACATAATCACCAGTTTCAACGGCTTGATAGGCTTGTCAGCAGTCTCTTTCTCGTCTTCTGACAATGCCTGGTACGCTTCTTCTTCCTCTCGCGACATTTGAGCTCTCAGCGGCGCTATTCGAGACAATAAACCAATCAAGATATCCGTGTTCACATTGCGTTCGTGGGCCTCATCCAGCAGCAGGATGGAGTACTGACGCAGTAGAAAATCCTGCTGGATCTCCTTGAGTAGAATACCGTCCGTCATAAACTTGATACGCGTGTGTTCACTCACATGTTCAGCGTCGTATCGAATCTGGTATCCCACGTGGCCTTTAGGCGCTCCGAACGGCACATTGAGCTCCTCTGCTACACGTTTAGCGGTGGATACAGCGGCGACACGACGTGGTTGGGTGACTCCGATACGTCCACTGTTCGACGGATGATCAGGGTGTCCATAGCCAGCTTCGTAGAGAAATTGAGGAACCTGTGTGGTCTTGCCACTACCAGTCTCACCACATAGGATAATGACGTCGTTCTCAGTGATCGATTCCATGATTTCCTGCTCCGAACTGCACACAGGAAGCTGCATACGCGCCATCTGGATCTCGGGCTTGCGTGACAGAGTAACCAGTGTGTTCTTGTATGATAGCGACATCTTCTTGCTGAGTTGGCGCATTTCTTGCGGGGTTTTCAGCACGATCGGCTTGGGTACATACACGTCAGCGGGGTTTACAGACGGTTCCTCTTGTTTAGAAGCAGCTGCTGGCTGTGGCTTGCCAGATAGAGCGCGTAGACGACGCTTCTCCTCGTTCTGCTTGCGCAGAGCGTCCAGTTTCGTCATCGCTGCACTTTGAGAGCTTGTACGCTTTGCTTCTTGCTCCGGATCCTCTTCAATCTGTTGGAGAGTCATGACGGACGTAGCGTCACTGGTCTCAGGCTTGTGAGTCTCCTCTTGTGGCTCTAGCATCGGCACGGAGCGACTGGATACGGCTGCTTTCTTCTTACGACGCTTCTTCTTACCAGTTTTATCCTGCACAGCGTCATCGGTAGGCTTGTCAGCCTTAACTTCAGCTTCTTTTGACGTCTTCGTAGCAGGTTTTGCCTCCTCCATCGGCTCATCGTCTTCTTCACGTCTGTCCTGCTTCTTGAACAGCTCGCTCTTGGCATCTTCGGACAGTTCAATGCCTGCTTTCTGTCGGTTTAACGAGCGTTTGAGTCGTTCCCGTAGTGTCTCCTTGTGACCCATCTGTGACGTGCTGTACAGAAGCTTCATCTGGTCCTGCGACAGCTGCTGCTTCTCTAGCGACTTGTACAAGTCTGCACGTCTTGCTTCTTTCACTTTCCTGGCTGCGATGGCTTCTAGTTTCTTGCGTTTGCTCTTACTCATGTGCTGAGCCTGCTCTATCAGCTCTTCGGGTATTTTCTCGGCCTTTTGCTTCTTCTCGCGGCGACCAGGAAGTACAAGTGCACCGCCAGCATCTTCTCCACCCATTTCCTCCAATAGTTCGGCCGAAAGCAGCCCAGAATCCTTGGAAACGTCAGCTTCGTCCTGCTCGTGCTCCTTGTTCGTATCATTCTCCTGCGTCTCCTGCGGCGTCTTTTCAAACGTTTCTTGCACGTTTACCGCCTTCGCCGTCTTGGCCTTCTTCTTTGCCTTGGCATTACCGCTCTGCTTTCGTTTCTTCGCCGCCATGATCACACACACGCAGTCAAAGATTCCGCCTTGCGTGTCAATCCGCAATGCGGTAGCCACCAACGAAACGTCACAAAGACTGGTACGCTGTACCAGCACTCACATCATCCAATCACAAGCTCATTTCTAACGATTTTGTACCCAATCACATTTGTCTTTCAATTGGCTGGCTGGAGAACCTTCCAGTTGCCGTTCTACCTCTTTTTGCTCTACCTAAAGGAAGTGAACCATGCCGACTAAGCGCGTCAAGGGCAAGAAGAAGCTCAAGTCCATCAAGGCCAAGCAGACCGATGCGATGGGCAGCAAGCGCCGTCTGGCCAAGTTCGGCAAGGAGCAGCGCAAGGGCATGCGTGGCTCTGCAGCCAACTACATCACGCGCAGTCAGGCGCTCAAGCGTCTGCAGGTGACGCTCAAAGACTTCCGTCGCTTGTGTATTCTGAAGGGAATCTACCCTCGCGAGCCCAAAAAGAAGCCTTCGGGCAAGGACAAGACGTACTACTACCTCAAAGACGTCATGTTCCTGGCCCACGAACCGGTTCTCGAGAAGTTCCGCGAGTTTAAATCCTTCATGAAAAAAGTCAAAAAGGCTATGGGCAAGAAGGACTACGAAGACGCCAAGCGCAAGCACGAGAACCGCCCTACCTACGAGCTGGACCATATCGTCAAGGAGCGTTACCCTCGCTTCGTGGACGCTCTAGGAGACCTGGACGACGCGCTGTGTCTCGTCCACCTGTTCGCTCTCATGCCCACGGGCAACGGAGTCCACGCTCAAGTCACCAGTATGTGTCTACGACTAGTCCGAGAGTGGCAGAACTACGTTGTCGCCACTAGAGCGCTGACCAAGGTGTTTGTGAGCATTAAGGGCATCTACTACCAAGCCAATGTGCAAGGACAGACCATCACGTGGCTCGTGCCCCACCAATTCACCCCTACCGTGGACAAACGTGTGGATGTGCGTGTTATGCTCACGTTCCTCGAGTTCTACGAGGTTCTACTCAAGTTTGTGAACGCCCAGCTCTACATGCAGATCGGAGTGGCGTATCCTCCCAAGATCAACCTCCAACTGGACGCTGCGGGCGCTCAATTGGCTGCGATCGAGCTTGAACGTGTGCAAGAAGACGAAGAGATGGCAGAGAGTGAAGAACAAGACAAAGAAGAGACGGAATCGAACAATATTTCGCAGCAACAGAAGGAGTCCGAGAAGAGGATCAAGACGCTCAATGGAGCCATCAAGGACGACGACGTTGAAGAGTACGAAGAGGACGAAGCGACGTATGGAGAGATGAGTGAGCCGCTCGAAGCTGCGTTCGCTTCGAACGAGCTAGCGGCGCAGATTTACAGTGAACAACGCAAGGAACGCAGCGAGAAGAGCTTGTTCAGTGGGCTGACGTTCTTCCTGTCGCGTGAAGTGCCTGCTGCGTGTCTGGAGCTGGTTCTACGCTCTCACGGCGCTACGTTAGGCTGGGATGGCGAGGGCTCTCCGTTCGACGAGAAGAACACGCGTATCACGCACCACCTCATGGATCGTCCGCATCAAGGACATCGCTACTTTAACCGCGAGTATGTGCAGCCTCAGTGGGTCTTTGACTCGGTGAACAACGGCATGTTGTTGCCGCTTACACGTTACGTGCCTGGCGCTGAGCTCCCGCCTCACCTCTCGCCGTTCGTCAGTGACCAACAAGAAGGGTACACGCCTGAGTACAGGAAGGAGCTGGACAAGCTCAAGTCTGCGTCTCAAGTACTACGTGAGGTGGGCGCAGTGGGCGAGGAAGGTGCGTCAGACTCGGAAGAAGACGACGCGGAAGAGGCCTACGCGGCTGATCTCAAGGCTGAGGTGGATGGAGAGGACAAGGAGAGCAGCGACGAGGAGGAAGAGAGTGAGGAAGAGGAACAAGACGAGTCTCTGAAGCGTAAGGCGGAACCGGAGACGACCGAGAAAAAGTCGAAGCGTGTTAAGAAGGAAGAGGAGGCTGCAGAACTCAAGGAACTGGCCAAGACTATGATGTCCAAGAAGGCCAAGCGTCTGTATGACCGCATGCAGTACGGTCTGGGTAAGAAGGCGGACAAGATCCAGAAACTCGAAGACAAACGTGCCAAGATCGAAGCTGACAAGGAGAAACCTAAAGAGACAGCGACCAACGAGGTCTCCAAGAAGCGCAAACGGAAGACCAAGGGCAAGAACGCCAATTAGACTTTTAATTGCCAATGTATTCTTCTGTTTTTCACAAACTCAGCAAACAGAGTTACAGTATTCGAAACTCAAAGCAAAAGACTTCAAGGACAGCTCCCGCTCACTGCGCCTTGTTACCATAGCTACAGACGCTCCAAGTGTCTGCGTCACGAGCTCGTCGTCGCGTGTTTCCAACAGATTCTTCAGGTTGAATTCTTTATCCTCGAACACGCACCACGTAGCGCTCTGTCATCTACGGGACAAGTACAGCAGCTACAACACGTATGTAGTTCTTCCGTTCTCGAAGCGTTGAGACGTCGGTCCTCGTAGGAAATAGCGACAAAATTCGTATCTAGGCAGAAGATTTGGCCTTGGCTTCCGCTTGCCACTTCTTGCGAAGCTTCTTGGCTGACTTGGCTACCTTCTCGTCGCTGCGATCAATTACACGTGGTTAGAGCTAACCTCGAATTCAGCTAAATCACACAACAGCATACCTGGACTTGCGCAGTTTGGACACCGAGATCCCGACCTTGGAGTCGATGATGTCTTGAGTGTTCAGCGTCATACTGTGAAGCTGTTCGAGCGCAGCCAACTGCTTGTTGTGCAACTTGTGCTCGTCCGTACCGTCGCCGTGGTGGTCAAGAACTCGGTTCAGTGTTTTAAGTGTTTTCAAAGGATTTGAGCCAGAATCTACAATCCAAACCGCCACAGTTAGTCCACTACTGCATCACGTAAGAGGTTGACACTCTTAGCGGGTACCATGGTCTGCAGACTGCTCGTTAATCTGCTTAATCCACTTTTGCCGGAGCTCATGTGCCTTCGCAGAAACCTTGTCGTTGCTATATTAACAACAAACAAGAGCCAATTTAAAAAAAAAAAAACAGCACCTTACACAACACACATAACGTACCCATGCTGGCGTAACTTGGACACTGCGCGTGCAATCCCCGTCTTCTTCAAGTGATCTATTGTCAGCGGCATCTACAGTACAGAGCGCCAGTAAGTAGCAATACTCTCTTCAGAGCCATCGCAGCACAAGAAAGCATACCTCGCCCAGCTGGTTCAAGCACACCAGCATCTCGTCATGCGACGTGTCGGCGTTCTCCACCTTCAATTTCAGTTCCAGAATCTCTTCCTTCCTGATGGGTTTAGGAGCTGGAACCAGATCCTCAACGTTCCATTTCTTGACCAAAAGCGTCACCAGATCCGAGATCTTGGACGACCTATGCGCTCTCAGCTTCACCAGTCTCGGCTGCAGAGTCGACGTCGCCAGCACGTCTTTTTCTACACTGTCTAGCGTCTTCAACGGGTCCAACGCGTCCATGATCTTGGACTCTAGTTCCAACGCCAACGACAAGTTCTTGGACGCTGCTTCGAGCTCTAGTTTCGTCCTTTCCGTAGCGTCCTCAGGAGCGTCCCCTACACTCTCTTCTTCCTTGACTGTAGCTTCAGGTGTCACGGGTACAGCAGCGTCACTCGGCTCAGCCTTCAGCCCTGCGTCATCTGTAGCCATCGTAATATCTTCTGAAGCTGTGGACGTCGAGTCAGCGGCGTCTTCCTCCTCCATCGACGCAATAACGCGAGCCACTCCTTCTTTAATCGACGCCTTGTGATGACGTAGATCCATATGAAGTCGGTCCTCGAGCAGCTTCCGCACTGTCTTTGTAGTCATCTCCTCGAACGGACAGTTGACGAGGATCCAGCGGATCTCCTTCTCGAGAACAATACTCAGCGCCTCGGTCGTCAGATCCGATGGAGGAGGCTTCTTCTCCTCCGTGGGTTCTTTAACTGCAGTCTGGCTCTTAGCGTCCGTATCTGACGTCTTAGCTACTTTCGGAGACGTCTTTTTCGCGGTCGACTCGCTCTTGCGCTTCTTGTCTTTCTTCTCCTTCTTGACTTTCTCCTTCTTCTTTTTGTCTTTCTTGTCTTTTTTCTTGCGTTTCTTCTCCTCCTCATCGTCTTCCGGCACGTCGTCCTCATCTACTGGCTCAAAATCGTCCATATTATCGGGGTCTGCTGCCTCCTCTTGAGGCACAAGCTCGGGCGGTGGAGGCTCCAGTGTCGGGTCGAGATCGGACGGGACCATGTGCTGCGGTAGACGAATGTCCTCGGGCTGTGATAGATACTCCTCTACCTCCTGTACGGCCTCTGTTAAGTCCTCCATCACACCTTTCTTCTTTGCTAGATGCTGTGGATGGCCTTTGAGGAACTGGTCCTTCTGGGCGCAGTCCCATGGCCGCAACACGCCCTTCTTCAGTCCTACCAGTGAGCTGACGAAGTATTGATTAGACTGTGTATGTCCCAATGTACCAAGCTACGTACAAGTCATGCGAGCCGAAGTAGTAGACGACAATAAAGTCTTCCGGAAAGTCCCGCGCCTTCTTCAGGATCTTCTTGTGGCCGCTACCCAGAAGGTGCAGGGTCGGCCGCAGCTTGAACACGTCGCAGATGTACACGGGCCACCATGGGTAGCCCTCGAGGATGTACCAGCCCACCGAGTTGGGCACGATCTCCTCCGCCATGCCTCTCTTTTATTGGCGCGAACGCTTGTCAGAAGCTGGACTATTAATACTTGGACTCAGTATTTCCATTTGTGTCTCCACCAATGAGAGGCCACGGACTATTTTTAGGCAATATTCTCTATTGCACTAAGTTAGTGTTTACCACCTCACAACAACACTGTAAACCGGTGGCTAGAATCCTCCCCCTCAATTCCAGGCTCGATATCTTTAAGGCCAGTAGTCAAAGTGATAGAACAATGCCTTCGGACGACGAGCGCAGTGTGAGCGACGTGAGCGACGTGGAGGAGGAGGTGCAGACCCCGCCGCAGGAGATTGAGGACTGCAGCAACTCGGATGTGGTCACTAAGTACAAGTTGGCCTCCGAAATCGCGCAGTCAGCTCTGCAGGGCGTGCTCTCCCAGCTCGAGGCTGGTAAGGACGTCGTGGAGCTGTGCAAGTTCGGTGATCTCATCGTAGAGCAGCGCTGCGCCGGCATCTTCAAGAGCAAGAAGGTGGACAAGGGTCTGGCCTTCCCTACGTCCATCTCAGTGAATGAGATCCTGTGCCACTACTCGCCCTTGGCCAACGAGTCCATGACGGTCAAGGCCGGCGACTGGGTCAAGATCGACTTGGGTTGCCACATTGATGGCTACATTGCCGTTGTGGCCCACACGGCTATCGTGCCTGCTGAGGGCTCGGCTGCTGACGCGGAATTCCCTGAGCTTAAGGGCGAGGAGGCCGATGTCCTCAAGTGTGCCCACGACGCTGTGGAGCTCTGTGCGCGCCTTATTAAGCCTGGCAACACCAACTTGCAGGTGACGGAGGCGCTTACGAAGCTCGAGACGTCGTATGGCGTTAAGAGTCTGCAGGGTACGCTTATGCACCAGCTTAAGCGCTTCGTGATCGACGGCAACAAGATGATTGCCCAGAAGATGGACGTGGAAAACCGTACCCCCAAGGTTACGTTCGAGCCCAATGAGGCGTACACTATTGATGTGTGCTACACCACGGGCAGCGACAAGCCCGTGAACAGTGAGCGTCGTACCACGGTGTTCAAGCGCCAGGTGGACAAGCAATACCGCCTCAAGATGAAGGCTTCTCGCTATGTCTTTAAGGAGATCAACACCAAGTTCCCTACGCTGCCCTTCACTATTCGTGCTTTTGAGGACGAGAGCCAGGCGCGTATGGGTGTCGTTGAGTGCGTCAAGCACGACCTGCTGCAGGCTTACCCCATCCTGGAGGGCCGTGCCGGCGATAAGGTGGCGCACTTTAAGGTTACGGTACTGCTGCTGCCCAACGGTACCACCAAGATCACGGGTCTCCCCTTCCCGAGCGAAAAGGTGCACTCGGAGAAGACTGTAGACGACGAGACGGCTAAGATTCTTGCCACTTCTTTGAAGAAGAAGAACAAGAAGAAGAAGAAAAAAACGACCGCGTAAGGTCGTCACTGCAACTGTCCTACGTCGCTGCTTAGCTGAGTTGAGTGGCGATGCAGCGAGAGACTTGGCGGTGCTCCCTTCCTTCTCAGGTTGAATCGACGGCGAAGCAAGCGAATCGGGGAAAATCAAAGTCGTAGCGTGGGCTCTCGTCCTTCTTCTTTTCCTTGCGGCTGCTGCCATAGCAGCTTTGCCTAGAGCATAGGCGAAGGAGGAAGCCAATAGCTCGTTTCTTCGGAAAGTAGTAAAATATTTCCTTTTCCCCTTTTGACGTTGGTTCCGTGCTACGCGGTGCTGCTCGGAAAGCAACGTGACTTCACAGTCAGCTGTAACGAATGGCTGGCAATATTTTGAGCTCCTAGAAGATTTGCAAAAGGCAGCAAACGAAATTACAAACATGCTTGTACTCTTCAGCAAGCTTTTGCATCTACTCCGCGCCAGGTTTAGTTAACCATATTTCCCGCAGTATCTCGTGCTTTTTACTATTTTAAGGGCTTTACAATTATAGGCTTTACAAAGCCTATAATTGTGCCCTTCCCTAAAATAACCCCCCTGCCCAAAATTTTGAGCTGGGTGCTCCCTAAAAAAACCAATAGAATAACCCCTCCCTATTATAGCTTCCCCCTGTGGAATATCAGATTTCCTTGGCTCACAGCACTGCATGAAGGTGGTAAATAGAGACTCCCCCTGAAATAGTCCAGTCTGGGGGTGGGGTACTAACATAATTCCCCAGGGGCACAATTATAGGTTTTATAGTGGATATATGGAAACCTTCAGCTTGAAATTGTGAGGCAAGCTTTAGCGCGTTTTACAAAAAAAAAACAGAACACACACACGAAAAATGTTTGACTCGCAGACAATGAGCGCTTACATTGAAAATTTGTTACAGATCAAACGAATGTTTTGCTACACTCATTGCACACATCCCTTAATAAGAACACACCAAATGTGGGTGAACTCACACCATTCGATTCTAGCGCATCGTGCTGAACAAAGACGAACTCTACAAATGAAATGAATTGCTTTGGCCTAATCGCTCAGCTAGACCCCGTGGCTCTCAATCCATTTTCAGAATCACGCAGCTCTTGAGAACCCCACTCTCCAGACCCACTTTCTTCTTATCCCGACCCTACGATGGCCTCAGGGTACGTGTGAACGACCGTATGCAGCGACATGGCTTGCGAAGATTCCCAGCTGCTCCTTGAAGACATGCGGGTGTTCATCATTGTCAATAGTCAGCTGGTCCCATGCTCCGTTTGCGCGCTGTCTAGAGCGCACAAGATGCGACACCAGCTGCTACGGTGTTCCTCGGAAACGTGCAAAGCGGTGACACCCCTACGATGCGTGCTACTGGGTAGGAAAGATACTTATCTGTCAAGAACTCCATCGAGTGCCGATCAAGGAGTCTGTTGCCCACGAGACTCTCGTCTTCAAGCCAGGCAGGCCCCAGCTGACTCGTCGACTAAAAACCTATGGTCGTGAAAAGGCTGCGCAAGGCCTGAAGCCGGGGGCGAACTCGCATGGGCATGTCCAGGCGATACGGGCTATCGGAGGCTGAAATGCCCACCCTGCGCTAAATGCAATGGCTCACCAGCCATTACACCAAGAAGACGCTTCACCAAACGATGATTATGACAAAATTTTGAATCAAGTCGACCAGCCGGCTTTTGGCCCGAGGTGTCTGACACTCGTCCATTCTCCTTTGGTTTCTAAGCGCGACGCGCGTAATAAGCCTGACGTCGGTAACGGCTCCGATGAAAAAACCGTTTTGGCCGGCTTTATCCCGAAGCGCCTGTTGCGGAATGCTGCCCGTGACCCTGGGTCGTCTGTGCTCCACATCAAAGCCACCTTCAAGCTAAACTAAGTTTCGTATCCTGCCATCGTTTGCGGTATTTCGGACAGATGTCGGTCCTTTCACTTGCTAGCTCTGCTCATAACCTCCCAGCGACTGGAGAGATTGTACTCGAAAAAGCGCTTTCGTCTCTCCGAAAGATTTTCACCACCGTAACGGGACAGCAGCTGGTGGTCAAGTACGTTATGGAAGAATATCATCACTTATCCGACCTCTCTTAGGTTTATTATCAGTATTGATGGCCAATCATACATTATTATTTTCAGATAACCAATCATGTCAATGTAATATGTCAGTCTTGGCCAATCAAAACGTGAAGGGCTAGGTTGGCCATCTAAACCCCACATCGGACGTACTAGGTCGGATGGGCACGAAACATATGTGTATCCCCGAACAATTATTAAGATGCCGGTGTATCACACGCATATTTTCATTTTATTCGACCGACGTAATCATTTCAGTACAAAGGACTCCAAAAGCATTTTAAAATTTGTAGTATTAATACCGTAGCAATTATTAGAAAGCGGTAAAATGGCGACAGTATGCATGCCATCAATAGCTTCTGTGATGACGAGATGTAGTAGCGACACTTGCAGCTTCCGTGAGGTGGCGCATTGCGAATTATTATTGTACCCGATTTTTAAGAGGCATTGACAATTTGCGTCAATTACTCGGACATATTTTACATTACTTAGCGCTCGCAGCTACACGAAACTACTGTCAGAATCGAGCTCTACATCGACACGACCAGAAGCTGGGACAGCCATCTGGACTTGGTGCGTCGCCAGCGGGCTACCAGCCGGCAGCATGCTTCCCGCCCTGCCGGGTGGAACAATAGCTTATGCGGGGTCTGCACGGGGTCTGGCGGTGGCATTCTCGCTGCTGGTGGTAGATGGCTCGACAGTACAGCCGGACCCGCCCTTCGGGGCGCCACCTGCAGGCACGCACCCAACGGGCAGCCTGCCGCCCGCCCTTCCGGGCAAGCCACCACAGCCCTTGAGGCTTCGCCCGCTGCTGATAACCCCTTCGCTTCTTTCGTACCTGCTGTCTTTCCTGTCGCTACTGCCGTCCCTCTTGTCGTCGCCCCTCGCCACCCTCCTCCTACCTTCAGCTCGCCTGTAGTAAAAACAATGTTTAGTGTGTGGCCCACAACATCTAAACTTTATACTTTTATATACATATATATTGGGTTATTGTTATGATGTATCATCCATTTGTTACAGGTCCGGTCATCCGGTCCGATAAATGTTGCGATGACAGATGCTGAAGCCGGTCTACAAAACGCGGTAAATCATGTTTATCATGTTTTGGTGTGGATTCCGACTATGCGTACCATCTGTATTTCTACCACGTGATGATCAAGGTTCATGAAAAGTTTAAGTGCATATCGGACAGTCTGTGCGAGAGGGTGGTCGCTGGCATTTACGACCTTCACTTTGCGTCTTCAAAGGAAGTGTATGACGAACAAATGTAGATTGATCTGGAGAGGTGGTTGCGCGAAGAGTAGCTGGTCGAGTTTCGGAGTTACTTCAGCAACATCTGGATGAAGAGAGAGCTCTGGCGGTGGCAATGTTTCCCCACACCTAGTGAATACGCCACAATTCAACCGTTTGATCATACGCCACCACATGCTTTGGACCGAGCATAAGATTGGAACGCTTCTACAGCTAGTAGCGGATTGTTGTGGACACCAATCAGCTACGCCAACAGCGTTCAAGGAGCAACCCGACGCGTCGCAGCAGCTAAAAGTTCGGGTTAAGGGTTTTCGCTCCTTCTAGACATGACTCTAAACGCACCAGCTTAATACTACCAGCTCGATGCTGGTACGTTTCAGAATCATGTCCGAGCAAGAATTTTCGTCAGTAGTACCTCCTTCTGGACATGACTCTGAAACGAACTAGCTTATTGCTAGCAGCTCAATGCTACCATAACTTAATGCTACCAGCTCAATGCTAGTACGTTTCAGAGTCATGTCCAGAAGGAGGTCCCGCTGACGAAAATTCTTGCTCGTTTCGCTTCACCCAAACGCTGTCCGTGTGTTATCACGGGGGTGCCACCGCGTGTATCTTTCGGAGTCGGGGCGCAGTCGCGAAGTGGCACCTGTGTCAGCCTAGATGCCGAGATGCACGAAGCCACCGACGAGAATTAACAGAATACAAATTGACTAACGTGGTTTCCTACATGACCCCACCGTTTACAAATGCTGTTATACAAACATTTCGTTTTCATCAAGTAATTGGCTTTCCGGCGGGCTATCATGCACGTGGTCAAGCTAACCTGCACACAGATGCAACTTAGCTTGACCAATAAAGAAACCTGCATTTTTTTTCAAGACCAGTCGAGAATGTATGACCGGTTAGCGTATGGACCAGTCCATGATTTTTCTATGTCTACCCCCCCCCCTTTATATGAATATGTTCACAAAAAAACGCCACTGTGTACAGTATACGGAAGTCTACAAGATGCTCAAGTCCTAACAGTTAATGGAGTGCCTCACAGGCAGCGACCGCGTCAGATTTACAGAAATCAACACCACTCGGCTGGTGTATAGCTCTTTCAGACTCAAAACTATCCTTCGTGAAAGCCGAGTTTGAAACTTGCAATAGTGATGCTGGACCCGACCGCTAAGACAAGCCATTCGAAGATCGAGTTTTTCAGTTTACCGGAGCTGTGTTGAAGACAGCAAAATCACAGAGACAGAATTGCAGAAAAATTGTGAGCAAATACCCGGAATTTGCTAAGCAGAACAACCGCATAAAGCAAAACTGGGTCTTGCGCTTTGTCAATCATTATCGACCAATCGTTGCACAGTCGCAGTTGGCGATAGAAAGCGGTATTAACGCTGAGAGAGGCACGATGAGATAGCTGCCCAATTTTCTTCGGAGGAGGAAAGGGGAAGTCACAGTGTTGCGGTGAGCTCGCCGGTGGTAATATAGTAGAGCCGCGTGCTTCTTCCCATGACAAGACAGAACAGTTGGTGGAGCTGAACGACGCGGTGATCCGCGTGGAGCGGGAGGCGATCGAGCTGAATGATGTGTGTAAGTATGTCGGTGAAGCGCCAGAGGGAGCAGTAGCTCAGCCAGGTGTCGAGATTTATTTAGATGAGGATAGTGTGGGTGACGGCGACTTGGTGAAGTGGGTCAGCAATCCG